TGACTGTAAGTGAGGTGTAATTAAGGGAGTCAACCATCGGGCCACTCGGTGAGGCAGGCGAGAATTATCTATTGGCTCCTATTGTTTTCTTTAAATTCGTTTGTCTAGAGAGCAAAGTAAGTTCATGAAAGATGGAGAGTTCTATTTTTGTTAAATTCTCTACATTTTCAAAAACTGTCTTGTCCAACGGAACAATGATATTGTTGTTTACGAGATCCTTCACCAGGTGAACCTGAATCAATGATGGTCCAAATTAAATGGGGTGTACTACAACGCATTGAACTGAAAAATCATACATGTATGTGTTATTGTGTCTAAAACAATAGGTAGGCAAACAACGCTACATCTAGTTGCACCCGCTGGCCCACTTTGGCTTCACCTTGGGTTTCTGTTTCTCAATGGCGAAGAGCTAGGGCCCGGAAGAATAGGCGCTGCGCTGCGCTCTACTGCGCGGCAATGCGGGCTTGTCAACGGCGTGGGCAATGCCATTAGCGCATTTTCCCCTCAGCGGACATTCTCTCATAATTGGCAGGATTGCACAAACCTTGCGGGGACGACAATTTGCGTCGACAGTGCGTCACGGTAGCTACTTTCTTCACATTACATATAAATATTGAATATTCATCTGTAGTAAAAAAAATATGCCAGAATTCAAACTGTATCTGTTGAAAGGTATATAGTTAGAATATTCGAATTGTAAACAAACTCAATATTAAAGACAAAGTAAAGCAAGAATTACAGTGGCTCACTTTCATATTCAGACTCCCAGATATAATCCAGAAATCGTGTTCAGCGATATTTTGACGGTTGTAGGAAAGCGACATAAGCGAGCAAGTGAAACAGAATCGTTTCTTTATTAACGGATAACAGTATAAACAAAACAAAAACGCCGAATGTAGTTCACGCATTCAATAAAAAAGCCTTATTTTCATTAGCCACAATAATATTTGGACACGTGAAATTAAAAAAATATATAAACGAATGAATAAATAAACGAAAAGAAAATTAATACTTTGTAGTATAACCATATTTGTTCATGACTTGCTGCAATCGCTTTGGAATTGAACCAATAATTCTCTTCAGGTACTGTTTTAATTTGTGCCCATTTATTCTTGATTATCGCTTGCAGATGGGACTTTGACGTAATTGGCATTCTCCTGACTGTGCACTCTAATTCTAGTAATAAATTCTCGATTGGATTGAGGTCAGGAGACTGAGGCGGCGTTTCCAGCACTATTAGACAATTGTACAACCATTCCCTCGGTAAATATGATTGTGTTTCGGGTCGTAATCTTGATAAAATTTAAACGAACTCCTGATGCAAAGTGTGTCAGCAGATTTTTGTGAATTCTCTTTCAGTATGTTGATATACTTATGTTTGTCCATTGTGTCTTTAAACACCAGCTCCCCTACGGCAGCAGCTGACTTGTAAACCTACACCATCATGTGTCAATCTCCGTTTTTCACTCTGTGTTACACTACGTTTCTAGAATGCAATTCTGTATTTGGTTTGCGCCATATCATTTTCCTACCGTAATTTCGAAAAAATTAAATTTTTCTTATTTAAAAAAATTACCTCACGCCACCACTTCTCCGATTTCGTCACATATTCTTTTGCAAACTCACGTCGTTTAGCTCTATTCCTAGAACCGATGAAGGGTTTCTTCCAGGCCGCTCGGCCGTAATACCCGGCATTCCTCATTACTCGGCGCACTGTTTCGGGGAGCACAGATGTTTCCGACACTTCGCGCAATTCTGCTGCCAGCTGGACGGCACTCACCTTCGTATTTATTCGCACTTTCCTTAAAGTTGCACCCTGCTCTCTTTCGAGGATCTTTTCTCGTTGTCCTTGTTGCGATTTAGATTCAATTTCGTCTTCTTTCTCAAATCTCTTAATGATATCGTGCAACGTGCTGTTGCTTATGAGTAAAAGATTTGCGATCTCCCTGCAGAAGCGTACCTTGTAGAAAACCACAAGCTGCATCTACTTTTGCCTTGCGCCCCATTGCAAGAGGTGTTTACAGGCGGAAATATTTACAGCGACTGACTGCTGTCCTGGGTAGGGGAAGGTGCGCCTATCGCGCTATCTAGGAGAGTAGCGAAGGGGTAACAGGACATTTTCCACTACGTGTCCGAATATTAACGTGACTTCATATTCTTGTATATTCAGATATAAATCCGTGTTTTTGAGCCGAATGTTGTGCACCAGAAACATTACCTTTGTATTATTCTGTTTTCTAATAATAAAGACACAGTTCATTTGCATTTCCTCATATATAACTTCCGCGCCCGTGTCAAAAATTAACAATCAACAATCATTTTGGCTGTCCGAATATTAACGTGAGCTACTGTATGTATACTTGCAAGAATATTTTATTTTCAAGTTCGTTTATAATTACAAATTGTTCACACGAAAATGTTTTATCGTGAGAATTCCTTCATGGAAAGAAAACACATCAAGCTTTGAAATACGGCTAAATTATTTGCAAACCATCAAAATATGCAACTGTGTAAGACAACGTGCAATTGTGTAAGCAATCGTATAGAACACACCGCCATAAGTAGTCAGTAGTTCACTATATCATGCCCGTAAGAAACTTCTCCAGGCATCCACATTCCGAAAGAAACACGAGACGGGGAGCGGGAAAAGCCGACCTCGGGGAAGGCTTTTTCTTCCTTTACAGCTTGTGGACGCAGCCGGGCGTGCTTCGACTGGCCTTTACGTTGCATGCGCTGCACGGCAAGGTTTCACGGTCAGAACCCCTGATAAGAAGCGGTACAAAGTGCAGCAGTTTGCAACAATTTGCATCTTATGGCGCGCTGACCAGGCGCTAATTTTTTTCGGTTAGCCATGCCCAATTAAGGAACTAATTTTTACAAGACGTTGAATAATAAAATAATCTCAAATAATCTGATATAAT